AAATGGGAAGATGACTCTAAGGCCCGCGAGTGGTATGCAGTGCTACCTTGAGTCGTCTATCAGGTATCTGCTAAGCACCTGTCACACCCCATCATTGGGAGGTACAAACGGCACACGACGCCCGAACGCCCCTGCGAACCGATGTCCATACTTATATTTTAATCATGATACCTGGGCCAACGAGGCTTCTAAGTAGTAACAATAAAAATTTAAAATGTACACAACTGACTATGAAAGAAACATTAACATTATATAACTTCACAACCTTTACCAACATGGTCCTAACGAACCATATATATACAACCAAACATTAGCCTGCAAGCCTCTAAGAGTGCTGGAAAAAATATACATACATGTGCAACTTGGTCGGGACAAGGCCCCACCATAATCAAAATGACCGCAACATTCACTTCAGTACCTATTGACTTCTGAATAGCTATTCCAAAGAAGTGGAGTGCAATAGTCGACAGCTAAAATGTACACCCTACTGGGGAGTGACGTCTCCGATTCTATATGCACCTGTGGGCATGCATAGAACGCCTAAAATAAAGGGGCATCAGTACGGACAATATACTGAGTTTGTAAGACTAAGAAGATATGTAAATACAAGACATAACATAAAAGATATGATGCATGATTTTAACCTGGATACCGAGGGCAAGCCACCGGGAGCGTAAAATGTGGGAACCATAAAACTTAAAAGTATGGAATCTTTATAAAAGTTTAAGCCACTACTAGAGATCATGCATTAAATATAACGGAATACTACTCAGCCACACTTCGGGGCATATAACTCATATCATACCCTGCCTGGTAGAGGACTCGGTAAAGTTTTATTCTTTCTTCATATCGTACCCGATCTCAGGAGGTCTCGGTCTTACCCGGCCACCAAAGGACTCGACTCGGTAGTATTTCATAACTCATTATTCCATACCCGACCGCACTGAGAGCTCAGTCGTACCCGAACACAAAATGACTCGGCTGTACCCGGCCTCTCAAGGGCTCGGTAATATTTCACATTACATCTCATCATATCTAATTGAACAATGATTACATAATAGGTGTCGTACCTGGTCAACTATAGCGAGGTTCGATAAAGTAAAATAGATTCATGCATATAAGTGTAGTGCAAAGTCAATTTCTAGAGTTACTAATATCAAACTCATGATAAATCAAATTTTTCGACTTCAAGACACTATCTGGGAACACCTCAAACTTGCAAGAACGTTACCGATAATAATGAATAAGAATAGAAACAATGTTACTAAGAAGAGATTAAAACCAACTAGCATTACGTTCACTGAAATCCCTTTTTTGAGAAGGAGATACTAGCACCAACTCATGCCAAGAAAGAAGGTTGTCCTACATACCTTGTTGAAGAACTAGCTATATTTTCCTGAATTCCAACGCCTTCATAGTGATTGACTTATCCTCCTATGAGTCTCCAAAAATAAATATAATAGGTATTGCAGTGATGATCCAAAGCTTATTCACACTAAATCCTACTAGAATCGCCTCTAATTCAGCTTAGTCTGCTTGGAAACTCTCAAAGGTGGATTGAGAGTGTTTTGGGTGAGTCGAAGTGGGTGACACTTCCTAGAATGAAAGAGAAAGAGCTACAATGCCTTTTTATGATATGACAAGCCTAGGAAATTTCGCAGACCTTACATGCAAAATAGGTTGCCACGCCTCGGTCATTGCACCCAGTGGGACAACTTGCGCAAGTCAAATGAAATGCATAGCTACCTTATGTCCTCATGAGCGTCGCTAGCTGATTGGCCGCGCTAGAAGACAAACTTGCCAATCCTCAACTTGTGTGTGGGGGGTGTAATATCATCCCCTCCTTTGTAACATTCATCCTCAAATGTTGAATCATGGTTACTCCTTGCAAACCTCATTGGTTATCTAGGGTTGTGCCCGCCATGGTGGTCTCATTGTTGACTCCCGTAGAATGGAACAAATGGGGGATTTCATGCAGTTTTCAGCTTCCTAAGTCATTTTTTCTACATTATTGTTCCTCCAAAGTACTGTAACTGAAGCTACTTCTTTGGTTCGCAGTTTGCACAATTGATAATCTAGGATAGCCACCGGAACCTTTTCGTAGGTTAGGTCTTCCATAACTTGGATATCTTTAATAGGGGTAATATGGTATGAATCACTTAAGCATTTTCGAAGCATAACACAAGGAACACAGGATGCACTTCTTCAAATTCTGGGGGCAACTCGAGCTTATAAGCCACTCGACCGACTTTCTGAATAATTTGATATTGACCAACATACTAGAGGCTGAGTTTGCCCTTATTACCAAACCTCATCACGTCTTTCGTAGGAAACACCCTTAAGAATACTCATTCTCCTACAACAAACTCCAAATCTCTTCTTCGAGTATCTGAGAATAATTTTTGCATGGTTTGAGTGGTCAATAAATGACGTCTAATCATTTTCACATGCCCTATGACCTATTGCACCAACTCAGGTCCCAATAACTTCGTTTCATCAATTTCGAACTAGCCGGTAGGAGATCTGCGCTTCTGATGGTAGGCTATGATTGCATGTTTTAGTTGCTTGTCGAACTCTAATTTACTACACTTTAATTGAGTTGAGCTTTAATCACTAGTGTTTTGCACTAATTGTATGTTTTATGCCTTGTAGGAGTGATTCCGAGCTATGTAGATGTTATGGGATGAATTCACGCTATTTTGGAGCTTTGAAGTCTGAGTAAAAGCCCAAGGATTTAGTTAGGATCAAGTTCGGGGATCAACGGACACTAGTGCCTTCAAAGAGAGAAATGAAGAATTGAGCCGGGCATCACCCAGGTGCGCGAGTGCGCACTGGTCACACATTTGAGGCACTGTACCATCCAAAGTGCGTGGCCTAATGCACGAGCACATCTCCAGGTGCGCGACCGCGCACGTTCCCATCCGGAAAGAGTCCTATTTCGTGTAAGAGAAGGTGTGTTCATTTGGGCCCGACCCTACTTGGTATATATACATGGAAAAACGGTATTTGTGGGACTTTTGACACATCTAAGACCTAAGAAGGCTAAGGAGAATTGGGAGATGCAAGAGCACAAGGATTTCATCCTTCAATCCACACTCAAGACAAGGGTTTGGATTGTTTTAGGTTTTCATTTAACTTAAACTTATTTGTGATGAATTTCTCCATATGTATGAAGTAATTCTTCTTTAGGGATTGATGGATTTGGTGTTTTGAGGATTATTTGTGGATATTAACTCTAGTTTTTATGTATTGAATCGTTTGGGTGTTTTAATTATTGCATATATATTAACATGTCTATGTAATCGAAAGAGGCGTAACTTGTGATTTTTTTGCATTATCTTGTTGGTTGAATTTACTAATTCTTCTTATTAATCTAAATAGGCTAGTTAAATTATTGTTTAGTCTTAGTTAGGATAATAATCGAAAGAGGTTCTCTTAAAAACCAATCCACTACGAATTCTTGCAGATCTTCATCGAGCTTAAATTAGTTCATATTGTGAGGTTGAAGCTTAATCGAGAGAGGAGTTTCTATTGAACATTTGAACTAATAATATAGTGAATTCGAGAGACTCACTTGAAACTTATAAGTGAATTAACTAGAGTTAAATCCCAGACAAGTATCTTGGACCTATCCAATCAACATCTATTTTCTCCCATTGATATCTTCTTTGCTTACTCTTGTTGCAATTGTCATTAGTCAACAGTTCTAGATTCTTAGTTAATTTTAGAATTAATTACATAAATCTCGATTGTTGATCATCTTTGATAGAAATCAAGCTATAAACTAAGAAAATACTATTTAACTACAATCCCTGTGGATACAATATTTTTCTATACTATATTCGACTAGCGAGCACATTTAAGTGTGTGTTTTGCGCTCGTCCGCTTCCGTCCGTATAGGGCCTTATATGGTTCCATCTGAATGCTGGCATGGTAGCTATTGTTTTAGTCAAATTCGATGAGTGGTAGATAATCTTCCCAACTTCCTTTGAATTACAAAACACAAGCTTGTAACATGTCTTCGAGCGTCTGAATAGTGCGTTCAATCTGACCGTCTACTTGCGGATGGAAAGCTCTACTAAGGTTGATCCTCATACCTAATACTCCCTAATGTGATTTCCAAAAGTTAGCCGTAAATTGGGTACCTCTGTCCGGTACAATAGAAATTGAAGCCCCATGAAGTCGAACTATCTCCTTAATGTATAACTTAGCGTAATCTTAAGCCGAGGAGGTAGTCTTAACTGGTAGGAAATGAGCTGACTTGGTGATTTGGTCCACAATAACCTATATATAATCAATTTTTTTGATGTAAAGGTGGTAATCCAGTAACAGAATCCATGTTGACCATCTCCCATTCCAAAGTTGGAATTTCCATATTCTGAGCAATCCTCCTGGTTTCTGGTGTTCAACCTTAACTTGTTCGCAATTTGGACACTGAGCGGCGTATTCAGCAATTTTTTCATTCATGGCGTTCCACCAATATAGCTGCCGAAGCTCGTGATACATCTTGGTTGATCCCGGATGAACTGATTACCGGGATAGATGAATTTTCGCCATGATTTTCTCTCAGAGTCTCCCGACATCAGGCGCGCACAACCGATCTTGGTATCTAATAACTCTGTCATCGGATAATTCGAACACTTGTTTCTTTTGAAAGGGAATGCTTTCCCTTATATGCACCAAGGGTGGATTGTCAAATTGTCGTATCTTAACTTTCGCCACTTGCGAGGATTAGGCAGCATTTCGAACCGTGGCTCCTCCGTTACCAGTATCAATCAATTATACACTTAAGTTGGCCAACCGGTACAAGTCTTTGGTAATTTCCAACTTATGATTTTCCACATGTCGTAGACTGCACATGGATTTCTAACTTAACGCATCAGCCACAACATTTGCCTTCCCGGGCTAATATAGAATATTAACATCGTAATCTTTGTTGTCTTAAATTCAACTCTTTTTGTCTGAATAAGTACTGCAAGCTCTTCTAATAAGTGAATATGTTAACATGCACTCCATACTAATAGGGGCGCCATATTTTGAAGGCAAATATAACAGTTGCTAGCTCCAGGTCGATAATTCTGTTTGTGTTTCCTTAGTTGTCTCGAAGAATAAGCAACGGCTCTCTTGTGTTGCATTAAAATACCTCCCAAGCCTAACCTAGAGGCATCACAATATATAACGTAACCCTTGGGTCCTTCAGGAAGAGTTAGAACTGACGCTGAGGTTAACCTACCCTTTAACTCTTGGAAATTCTTCTCACATCCATCAGCCCACCAGAATTCCGCTGCCTTATGTGTCAACTTTGCTAGTGGAGCAGCTATAGATGAGAATGTTTTCACAAACCTTTGATAGTAAACAACTAAGCCCAAGAAGCTGCGTACCTCAGTAAGCGTTGTGGGCCTTGGAAAATTCTTAGCTACTTCAACCTTTTGACAGTCAACCTTCATACCCTCACCTAATACTATATGTCCAAGAAAAGCCATTGAGTTCAACTAGAACTCGCACTTGGAAAATATGGCGTACAACTTATGGTTCCGGAGCATGCGTAAAACCATTCCCAAATGTTGTACGTGTTCCGCTTATGATTGAGAATACACCAAGATATCATCTATGTACACGATTACAAAAATGTACAAAAAGGGCTTGAACACCCGATTCATCATATCCATGAAGGTTGCTGGTGCATTGGTTATGCCAAAGGAAATAACGAGAAACACGTAATGGCCATGCCTAGTTTGGAAGGTTGTCTTCGGGATATCTTCTTCTTGAATTTTAACAGATGATACCCAAATCTGAGATCAATCTTCCAAAAATACTTAGCGCCTTGCAATTTATCAATCAAATCATCGATTCTCATGAGCAGATACTTGTTGTTAATGGTTACCGTATTCAACTATCGATAATCAATGCACATACTCAACGAACCATCTTTCTCTAGAACTAATAGTACTGGGGCTCCACATAGGGAAGTACTAGGTCGTATAAAGCCCTTATCAAGAAGGTCCTTCAACTGATATTTTGGTTCTTTCAACTTGGCAGGATCCATCACGTATGGAGGAATACATATCGGCTGCATATAGGGTGGCACATTGATGGCAAACTCAATCTCTCTCTCTGGTGGAAAAATCGGGAGATCATCAGGCAACACGTCAGGAGATTTACTAACAACTGGAACCAATTAAAGGGTTGGAGGCTTCGCCTCCGTATTCTGCACCCACACCAAATGATAGAAACATCCTTTCGTCATCTTCCGAGCCTTAAGGTAAGAAATAAACTTCCCTTTATGCGCCGCAACACCCCCTTCTATTCAAACGGGTTCTGTTAGAAAGTTAAAGTGAACAAATTTCTTCAAACAATCCACAGTAGCATAACAAGAGGCCATCCAATCCATGCCTATAATAACATCAAATATTGTCATTTCTAATTCACTTATATCTGCCAAGGTATGTTGCTCATGAATTATCTCATTAATACCTTGATATACCTGACTAACAACCACGGACTCGCCCATAAAGCGTGGACACTTAAAACAGTTGTCATAACAATTTAGGTTCTTTACCGCATTTATCAGCAACAAATAGAGTAATATACAATAAGGTGGATACTGGATCTATCAAAGCATACATACTACTAGAAAATATGGATAGCATACCTGTGACCACGTCTGATGATGACTCTAGGTTCTGTCGGCCTGACAATACGTTGATGCGGTTCTATTATTCACTCGAGCTAGTCACTCCAACTCTACCTATACCCCTCCCTACCGGCGGCTGCATACCTTGCTCTCAACGATGCGTTGTCGATAAAGAAGCTGCTGCAGATACCGCTGGCGGTATTATGCCACCCACATTTGTCAATGGGCAAAAGTGCATGACATGAATGGGATGCCAACAAGAATAACAAAATCTAAGCCCTGGCAGAAATTCCCAAAATTATTTCTATAACATTGGCCACAATGCAGCATCGTGGGTCTCATCGTACTAGCCACCCACAAATCTATGTACCCGATCATTCATCTCAAGAACCACGGAAGGAACATACCAAGCTAAGGAGTTAAATTACATGGTATACGCCCAGACACTCATATTACCTTCCTCTGACCATAAGAATCTATCTTGCCTTGATTGACGGAGCGCAATGAGAAACTACTACTGCAACAATTCCTCAGAAATTTCCATCCACCCTGCTGCTTAGGCAAGAGATCCCCTAGACTGTTCCTAAGTCTCATTCCAAATCATGACTCTATCCCTAAATCTGTAAGAGGCAAGCTCTGCAGACTCAGTATCAGTGGCATGCATAACTCACAAGGTCTGCTACATCTGATCTAGAAAATTCTAGCGATCATCGTTTGGATCAGTTCCTGTGAATACTCGGGGATCAAAATTTATGAAATCCCGAACTGTCATACAGACTGCTCTATCTGCGGTGACAGGGGCCTGACATTAGGTTTAAGAGGCCACTAATCAAGTCAACAATTGTACTACACTTTTCATATCTAAATCTTGGTTAGAAGCAACCAGGGGAGAAACATGAGGTACACTAGTTTCTTTATGCTATTTCAAGAATAGTGATGTCGTCCCCAAAACCTACGAATAAGTTTCATTATAAGTCTCCCGTTGATTCATATAGCCATGCAGCACTTGACTAGTACCCTCCCCTTCTTCTTCATTTAATCCTTGAGCAACTTCCTAACGTCTCATGGTAGGCATCGTTATAAACATAATAAGACGGGGGTTAGAAGTGAATACTTACAACTCAAATCAATCTCATGATCTAGATCAGAAAGAAGGGTATTTACCCTTAATATCCTGTAGCCTCTTGTTTATAAATATGGTGCACAACATAGCCATAAACAAGACTCTACTAGATACGGCTTGCAGACTCCTAGGACAGACCTGATCTGATACCATGTTTGTCACACCTCAAGCTCGGGAGGTGCAACCAGCACACGATGCCCGAAGACCCGTGCGAACCGACATCTATGCTTACATCTTTAATCATTAAACCTGGGCCAACGAGCCCTCTGAGTAGTAATACCAGAAATTTAAAATGTACACAACTGACTATGAAAGAAACATTAACATTATACAACATCACAATAGTTACTAACATGGTAATAAACAATAATATATATACAACCAAACATTAGTCTGCAAGCCTTTAAGAGCGCTGGGAAAAATATTCATATAGGTGTAACTTAGCCGGGACAGGGTCCCACCATACCCAAATTACTGCAACATATACTTCGGTACCTATTGACTTTTGAACAGCTACTCTCAATAATTGGAGTGTAACAATCGACAACTGAAATGCACACCATATTGGGAAGGTACGTCTCCGGTTCTTTTTGCACCTGTGGGCATGAACATAATGCCCAAAAGAAAGGGTCGTCAGTACGGAAAATATACTGAGTATTTAAGGCTAAGAAGATATGTAAATTCAATACATAACATAAAAGATATGAATACATGATTTCAACCTGGATACCGAGGACAAGTCACTAGGGGCGTAAATTGTGGAAACCATAAAACATTAAAGTATGCATGCTTTATAAAAGGTTACGCCACTGCTAGAGGTCATGCATTAAATATAACAGAATATAATTCAGGCACTCTTTGATGCATATAACTCATATCATACCGGCCTCGTAGAGGACTTGGTAAAGTTTTATTCTTTCTTCAGGTCGTACTTGGTCTTAGGAGGTCTCGGTCGTACCCGGCCACCCAAGGGCTTGACTTGGTAGTATTTCATAGATCATTATTTTGTACCCGACCTCACTGAGAGCTCGGTCATACCCGGCCACAGGGCTATGTCATACCCGGCCTCACAAGGGCTTACTAATATTTTACATTGCATCCATCATACCAAACTAGCCAGTGGTTTCACAATGCATGTTGTACCCAGCCATCTATAGCGTGGCTCGGTAAAGTAAAATATATACATACATATAAGTATAATGCAAAATCAATTTCTAGAGTTATTAAGATCAAACTCAGGATGAATCATATTTTTTGACTTTCGGGTACTATCTGGGAACACCTCAACCTTGAAAGAATGTTATTGGAAAGGATGAATAAGAACAGAAACAATGTTATTGAAAAGAGCTTTGAACCAACTAGCCTTACGTTCACAGAAATCCTTTTTAGAGAAAGAGATACTTGCACCAACTCATGCCATGAAAGAAGGTTTTCCTACATACCTTGTTGAAGAACTAGCTACGTTTGCATGAATTCCCATGCCTTCGTGGTGATTGACTCAGCCTCCAATGAATTTCTAGAAATCAAGATAACAGATTTTGCAGTGATGATTCAAAGTTTTGTCCCACTGAATCCTACTAGAATTGCCTCTGATTCAGCTTAGTTTGCTTGGAAACTCTCAAATCAGGGTTAAGAGCGTTTTGGGTTAGTCAATGTGGGTCACACTTCCTATAATGAAAGTAAAAGATCCACACTGCATTTTTATACTATTCCAAGCCTAGGAAATTCCACCATCCCGACATGCAAAATAGGTCGCCCCGTCCCGGTCACTGCGCCCGGTGGGACAGCTTGCGCAAGTCAAATGAAATGCGTAGCCACCTTTTGTCCTCACACACGTCACCGGCTGAATGGATACGCTAGAAGCCAAAGTTTCCAATCCTCAACTTGTATGTGTGGGGTGTAATAGCACCTTATGGGTGTCACGGCCCAATTTCCACCATAGGTCATGACGGCGCCCAACGGCGTCCAACGTCGCCTTTTGACAAGCTAATGGTGAACCTTCAACATAATTGTCCATTTTTATACTCTTAAAATCACATGTTTCATAAGTAAATCAAGTTAAGTGAAGAAACCATAGAGACATACTTACGTTCTCACTAAGCCATAAAGTATAAATGAAGCATAAAACGAAATCATGATAATATTAGGTAAAACCAAAATCATCTACTAGAAGTTTTACAAAACCAGGTGTCACATGAGTGGATGAGCAATCTAGTAGAATATACAAGGCACTATACCTACTGTCTGAAATAAAATAGACAAAAATGATAAATATGATAAGAAGGAGGCTCCGGGTGTCGTAGATCGGAGCATGGAGAGTATCTCGCCACTAATTATCCGGATAGTGTATGCGCGCCCAGATGACCGCCTAAAGTACATGTCTATGTACCTGCAAAATTTGTGCAGAAGTGTAGTATGAGTATGTAAATAAACACGTACCCAGTAGGTATCTAGTCTAACCTCAAATAGTAGTGATGAGGGTTCGACATCAACACTTACTTGTGGTCATAAAATTAAAGTACATGAAACATAGATAGACATGAAACATAATAAGTAGCAATGAAATAAGTAACTATAACTTACATGATGCTTCAACATAATAATAATATGAAATCCTCAAATACCATGTGCTATCTCAGGCAAATAAGGAACATCAAGTAAATTTCAAGTCTTAAGTCAAGAAGAAAAACTCATGTATATTCTGACTCGTAGCGATATTACGCACG